TAAAAAACTCAATTTCGGTTAAAACCTCCGGTTTGCTGTGCAAAAACCCATATAATAAATTTAACCTCTATAACTGTCACAATTCTCTACAATCACACATTTTTGTATCCCAAGTGTGTAATGGCAAAAGAAGTTGAATCAATTTCAAAATAATTTATCTAAATTACAAATATAAATAAACCTTATAGACGACTTTAATTAGAATGGGATAAATAGTTGTGACAAATAAATCTATAATATAAACTAATAATAAAATGGGTAACTTCAAAGTTAACTTATATAAATGACTAATGTATGTTTTATAATTTGGCCTTTAACGTATCATCCGGAATATACCATACCATCTCACATTCTTTTCGAGTAAAGCTGAGCATAAAATTGAGATCAGAGTCCTTGTTAGTATAAAAAAAAAAAAAGAAAAGGGAATTCAATAATTTCCTTACCCGCATTTTTCATAGAAGGGCACATTCTGCAAGTGTGATAAGTTAAAATTGATATCCTAAAAAAATTATGGCATTTTTTAACAGACATACCTCTTCGGAACAGTCCAAGATAACTAGGAAGTATTAAAATATTACACGAGAAAACAAAATACAAAAAAGAGAGTTCCTTAAAGCGGGGGTAGATCAATTGAATCGACGCAAGTTGATAGATAATCAACCATCAATTTGGTAGCACAACATCCGATAAAATTCCATGAAAAATTTTTTTTTATTTGAATTCTACAAAGCTGTAGAATTTAAATAAAAAATTTCATTGAATTTTATCGGATGATTGTCGAAATACCTTTGCTCAAAGTTTAAAAAAAAATAAGCCAAAATTGATGATTTTGATTGGCTGATGATCAACTGACTTGCATGACCCTGGACCGTCAATTCAATTGAAACAAGTGATACCTTTGTAGCAACCGGTTTTTGCACCGATGTATTTGAGAGCTTGGATAATTCTAAATGTAGTATAAACAAACATTCAAATTTGAGATCTTGTTACATCTTAAAATGTCAAATACGGTGAATAGTGATTATGAATACCTGAGGCCAAGTTTCTTTCCTTGCTGATTTTTGTCAACGGCAATATCTTCTATGTGTCCAACCTAATAAAAATGATTCTGTCATTTATAACGAATCATTTAATCAATTTAATCAATATTACTAACCAGTCCATTATTATGGATAAATTTGCGTTCAACAAATATTGTCCCAGCACCTATGATTCGATCCTCAGGAGAAACGATCACAAGGGTAAAATATTCATGGCTATGGGCTTTAAGGTAATAGAATCGTTCTGCAAATGAAGAAAGGTTCGTTAATGAATGAAGTGAGTCTTTATAAATATGACATTAGATTTACCGAGAAACTGCGCTTTAGAAATGTCCCCAACGGTTGTGAGCACAGTTAGAACGTCAAGAAAGCCTTTTTCATAGTCTTCGCTGGATAAAGGTCTGATAGTGTGGCCTTTTGGTAAGGCGGCCTGAACATCAGATGAGATAAGGTCGCTAGAAAAAAGAATGTCGGCAGGCATTTTAAGTTAACAGTTTAAAATTCGAACGTAAATAAATATCATGTGCAGGTGTAACGTACGATAATCATTCAACATTATCGTTAAATTGCTGGAAATTTTTTTAATACTGTAATATATAAATTCGTTCTCCGTTATAATATTACTTTAATATGGCAACATATTATTCTATTGCATTATATTTGCAAGTGCTTTCGTTTCTTATAGTGACATTTGGAATAATTAAAGTTTCAACCGAATCACATAAAGAATTCAATATTACACAGCTGCTCGAAATAGTACAAGCAGAATTTGACTTTACTATCGCGAACGAAGGCGTAAAGGGAAATTTCTCAGAATTACACGATTGGTCTTCTAGTATTGCTATAAATTGTACAAAAGGAGAAGCTTTTCGTGTGTACGAAAATTTGACAACGCCGGATAACGCCATAAAATTAGCAAGTCATATCGAAATACCTGATGGACAAGGGGATGTATCAGGACAATATATATATACGGCCTCAGGTATTCATAATCACTATTCACCGTATTTGACATTTTAAGATGTAACAAGATC